AGATTGCGAGTCGAGCGTCTTAGCCACCTGGCCATGCCGGGCCTCCTAAATGTTGACTGTGGTTAAGTCAACTACTTGAGTTAATGCTGACTTGAGGCATACTCATTGTGTACAAGGTTTTACTTGCAGTAAGGAACGTTTAATATTGAATTTGTAATAGAATTTACAAATATTGGCTACTTTTTGAGACATTTAGTTTTGAATTTTTTCTTTAATTTACCTAAATATTCAGAAAACTTTATTTTCTTCTTAGATGTAACACTACATTCTCTTGTTTCAGTTTAAAACGTGTTCAGGTATTAGCACTCACTCACCTGATAGAGTCAAACCATTCGACCATTGGTAAGGAGCTTATGTAAACTTTGAAATAGAAAGGTTCACAAAATCGCTGTCTAAAAACCTATTGCTTTCAGCTCTCTAACTATTAGGAGGCATACAGTCAGGTATTAACAAACTGTAGTCAAATAAAGTATGCAAATATTATGGTTGTAACTCTTTTATGACCTAGAAATTGAACAGATCCCTGGCTTGGTGGTTATGGACCTCAACTAGCAATGTGTGGATTGCGAGTTCGATTCTCATCACTGAACATTCTTGCCCTTTCAATTGCAGTGGCATTGTAATTTGAAAGTCAATCCCACTATTCACTAGTCAAGAGTAGCCCAAGAGTTGGCGGTGGGTGGTATTGGCTAACTGCTTCCGTTTTGGTCTATCACTTTACAATTAGGGACGACTGGCGCAAATAGCCCTCGAGTTACTTTGCGTGAAATTCAAAAGAAACAAACAAATGAATCGATTATTATTCAGGTGAGTATTTCAATGCATGACAGTAAGTAGCTGCACCTACTTAAACGTTCTAGACGAGCAGAATGTGTCCAGTGTTGTACCCCTTAATTCTGCCCTTAGGTTTGGGTTGCTTTGTTTTGAATTTCGCGCAAAGCTACACGAGGGCTATCTGCACTCGCCGTCCCTAATTTAGCAGTGAAAGACTAGAGGGAAGGCTGCTAGTCATCACCATCCACCGTCAACTCTTGAGCTACTCTTTTACCAATGAAAGTGGGACTGACCATCACATTATAACACCCCCATGGTTGAAAGGGAGAGCATATTTGGTTGGATAGGGATTCGAATCCCGCGACCCTCAAACTGCAAATCAAATGCTCTAACCACCTGGCCATGCCGGGCTCTGCCCTTAGGTTTCATTCCACTATGTTCTTAAGTCAGAGTTTGGAACTTGTTTGCCTTTGAATCTGGCCTGCTTGCTGATCCTCAGCGGGTTGTAGAAAGACATTTGAAACTCTGATGCCTCTTTTCTTTTGATGAGATCCGTCTAACTGAAAAGGCATTCTGGAAAATTCAGATGGACTTAGATCCCAAGCAAGGTTAAATCGTGGTCAAAATAGCCTAAGTGTTTGTACTGTAGAGTTGGAATATAAAAAAGCCAGCCTAGATAAATACAGTTTTTGCTTATTGTAGCCAATAAAGTCACGACCTATCTTTCGATATTGTCTCTGTTGAAGAAAACTATATTGTTTTTTACTTCAAACCGAAACAATTGTATTTAATTCTCTGTTTATTTTGGTCGATTTGGATTCATTCATGTTTAGCATGCGTATCTTTAGAAACTATAGTTATTGTGATAATAATTAACTTATGTGTTAATTCAGCTTTCTTTACCTGATACCACAGCAACAACGTTAAAAAGTTTGTTAGTTTCTTCAAACTTTCGTGATCGGCAGTTTTCTATAATTTTTGCTGAAGACATTTTATTTTGCTTCATAATTTTAAAGACTCAATATTTATATATGTTTTTAGTTACTTTACCAGTGTTCTGAATAAATAAATACTTTTGGAGTTGACTCTAATGACTTGCTTAATAATTTGTTTTGGTTAAATGGTCTGATTTATCCAGTGGTGAAAAGGTAATCTAGCTTATAATAATAGGAATTGTGTCATTTCATAAAGAACGTTCATATTCAATTTCTTTCAGCCCATCTATCCGCACAGGTGCAGCCCCAAGAACAAACTGTTGATGTAGGAAAAATAGCCACTTTCAATTGCTCATTCTCTGGTTTCCCAGTAGATATTGTTAAGTGGTACAAAGATGGAGAGCCTTTGTATCTGGAGAACATTAGAATTCAAAAGTTGTCAAAGTTTTCTGTGTCATTCAATCCCGTTCAAAGGGAAGACAAGGGCATGTATCAATGTGTTGTGTCCAATGACCAGGATTCTGCTCAGGGAACTGCTCAGCTTGTGTTAGGTGGTAAGTTCCTTATACTGGTGTTACTTTTAACTTTTGGTTATGTTAAAGGCAGGAACTGTTAAGTTTGTGAAAAGTGGTAAGATCTTTATAGAGATCTTCATCTGTTAGTTTCTGGTTATGCTAAAGACAGACTTTTGCACAGGTTGTGTTAATTGGCGAGTCTTTTACAGTGTCAGTGATGATATTACCCTGTTTGCTTTAGTTAATTTTAAATGACAATTATTTTTCGTACACACTGACTATTTTCATCTGATTCATTTGTTCGAGGTACAAAAAATGTTTTTTTTATTATTGTTCCTACTCATACATAGCTACATATTATAATCTAAACTGATAAATAATTTTGCTTGTTTTCCTGACTGAAATGTCTCTACAATAATAATATCATGAGTCCTTATGTTTTTAGTTTGGTGATATGGAACCGATCCGCTTATTTATGTATCTTTTGTCGTATTTTGTCACTAGGATCATTGATGTCTGCGCCTATATTAAATATCACAACGATAACACAGGCCTGCGAATTTAAACTTCATAAAAGTTGTTTTGGTTTTAATAATGGATTTTCCATAATTCAGCTACGCAGATTTTGAAAATAATGTTCATTTTTTTTTCTATCACGTAAGGATTTTTTACAAATCGGGAAGAAAGAAAAAAACTAAAAATATTACTTCGGTTACCACAATGAACATTTTTATTATAATCTTTGTTAACAAAAATATAAACAAACTGAAGAAAATAGAAGAACACTGATGTTAAATGAATATGCATCCTCATTTGTTTTGTGAAATCTTCTTTTTTTAGTCTCAAAACTACGAGTTGTGGTCTTTCTTTTATGTATTGCGTTATGACGTTTTATGAAACATCTGTACGTGATGGAGAAAAATGGATATCATTTTCGGATTCAGCGTACAGGAATTACTGTAGAACATGTAAAAATTTCAAGACAATAAAACAATCGCAGGCCTGTGTAAGCTTACGTTGGTAACCTTCCTCACCCAAGGGAGACCAGTTGATTTGACTTGAGTAAAATTAGGGGTAGTGGGTCAAAGATTCAAATATCCTACAATTATAAAGATAAATCTCAGTTATTGTCAGGCCTAGTTTAAACTGTGAAGACCAGTATGGACATAAAGCCTACTAGTTTCTTCTGTATTTTAGCTCTATGTGGCAAATAGAGGAAAAAGACAGTAATACAACTTACAACTTAATACAACTTACAACAGCCTCTCGTTACACTTGTTATACAATCAGTAAAAATAGGGGCTAATGTTCACGTGGCCCCTCATAGCAGCATCCTAGAAGGAGACGTACAAATACATAAGCTCTGGTCGTCACATACGTTGGCCTGCCCATAGTAAAAATAATAATAAACTTAGAAAGGTAAGGCCTAAGTGTGTATGCCTAACGACCATAATATATACTAGGTTTGAAAAGTCAAATAACGTATTTTTATCGCCTGGTTGCAATATATTGGGAATAATGTTCTTTGTTTCATTCCAAGATGGGCCATTTTTTGTATTAAAAGGTAGTTGCATTAATTGTGGTATCTATGTGAGGCAAGACTCTAATGTTTATTTTATTTTTTTACATTTCTATATTTTCTTAATTACAGATGCCGAGCCTGTTTTTCATTTTGTATTTTCTAAGAAAACACTTCAACCGAAGTCATTCCATTCACTAAAATGTGCTGCTTCCGGCAATCCGCTGCCTCAAATAACATGGACACTAGATGGCGCGCCTCTCCGAGAAAGTCAAAGTCATCGAGCGGGCGACTATATCACACGCCAGGGTTTAGTGGTGAGTTATGTGAACATAACTTCTGTAGCAGTGCAAGATGGTGGCGAGTACAAGTGTCGAGCGACCAACTCGGCTGGCAGTGTGGCTCATGCGGCTAGAGTCAACGTCTACGGCCTGCCTTTCATCCGTCCAATGAGAGATGTGTCAGCTGTCGCAGGGGAGAATCTTCATCTCCGTTGCCAGGCAGCTGGATATCCAATCAACTCAATTACATGGTACAAAGGTAACTCAATCTTTTGCTGCTCGATAGAAATGTATGATATGGTTAAGCCGGTGCTAAGGCAACCCACCCACCCCTTTTAAAAGGGGGATTCCAAGTCCCCATCTAATAATACTTATCCTATAAATTTTAAGCTTCTCGATTTGTCTAAACTCGTATTATAATATTTCATAGTAAAGGTTATAGGCCGAACGTGGGCTAATTGTTAACAAGCCCGAACTGTGAATCTGAGGGCTCATGGTTAAAGACATGTTGACGCAAAAAAGCACTCCGTATTTTGCTATATTGGGTATCCTATAAGAGTCAAGTCTCATTATTCAATCAGACAAAAATGTCCCAAGAGTTGGCGGTGGCTGTTTTTGACTAGCTGCCTTCCCTCAGTTCAAATTTAGGATCGGTTGTGCGCGAACAGCCCTTTCCGTGGAACATTTTGAAACAATCTTACGAACAATCTTAAGAAAGAGAGAAATCACCAAAGGTTATTTTATCCTAAGACGAGCCCCTAATTTTTTAAAAATGAATACCAAAAAAAAAAACACTCTAGCGAGATGTAGCATTCCAAACAAAGAACAAGTCTAAGTTCACTCAAAAGGTTTCCAGTATTAAAGTCTCCATTATCACTTTATCAGCCAACAAACAAAAATACTCAACACACAAGCTAAACCATAATCATAACGCTTCAGGCCTGGTGGTTAGAGCATTCGACTCGCAATACGCAGGTCGCGAGTTCGAATCCCGTTACCGAATGATCGCCCTTACAGCTGTGGGGGAGGTTGTAATGTGACGATCAATGCCATTATTCGTTGGTAAAAGAGTATTCCACGAGTTAGCGGTGGATAATGTTTACTAGTTGTCTTCCCTCTAGAATTTCGCGCAAAGCTACTCGTGAGCTATCTGCGCTAGACGTCCCTAGTTTTGAAGTGATAAGAAAATTCTGCAGACTTGGAATTCTACACAAAGAGGATTTCCTTTTTTTTTCAGAAGAATATTTTGTTCTTATTATATGGTAAGGAAGTGGAAATTGATAATGAAACTAAACTAGATGATACGACGTTTTTCGATTTGGTATATTTTAGGACCTTTCATCTGTATGTCTCGTGTAACAAAGAGCACTCAGATATTTTCTAAAGTAAGTGTGGACGTAGACTCTTTCGGTGTTCAGCTGGTTTAGTGACAAAGTGACTTGCCTTCATTTTTCCTTCAGCGTAGAACTAGAAGCGATTTGTTTGTTGGTTGTTGAACAAAATAAACTCAGGTTGTTTTAAATCGTCTGCTCTTATTGATGAGAAAAATGGATTAACTGTGTAAGGGAAGTTTAAACTAAATTGATTGTTTTACGATACCATTACCGAAGATCTAGAACGAACGTATGCTTATTATCAAACATTATACAATATTTATTTTGTTAGTTGAACTTCCTAACAGGAAGTTGATCGTGTAAATGACAGTCATCAATATCATCCGAACAAAGCAAGCTATCTTTGTAGATCAGAGCTAAAATTAACGCTGTAAATAATCAAATATACAGCTCTAACGAGGACTATGTAATGACGCAAAGATTAGAACGCAATGACTTGGATATCCCTCGTGTTACTGATGTAACATTTTATGAAATTCGGCCAGCTTAGGAGATTTATGTTAGTCCTAAATCCACATACAAAAATAACAACGAAAATTACGTTTATAACAAACACCCTCCACCCCAGTGTTGTTACGGACCTTAAATTAAATTAGAACAGTTACTGATTCTACAGGAAGTGGTGTTACAAAAATTATATAAAATTAGAACTGCTACTGATTCTACAGGAAGTGGTGTTACAAACCTTGTATAAAATTAGAAGCTGCTACTGATTCTACAGGAAGTGGTGTTACAAACCTTGTATAAAATTAGAATTGCTACTGATTCTACAGAAGTGGTGTTACAAACCTTGTATAAAATTAGAACTGCTACTGATTGTACAGGAAGTGGTGTTACAAACCTTGTATAAAATTAGAAGTGCTGCTGATTCTACAGGAAGTGGTTTTACAAACCTTGTATAAAATTAGAACTGCTACTGATTCTACAGGAAGTGGTGTTACAAACCTTGTATAAAATTAGAAGTGCTGCTGATTCTACAGGAAGTGGTGTTACAAACCTTGTATAAAATTAGAATCACTGCTGATTCTACAGAAATAGTGTTACAAACCTTGTATAAAATTAGAAGTGCTACTGATTCTACGGGAAGTGGTGTTACAAACATTGTATAAAATTAGAATCACTGCTGATTCTACAGAAAATAGTGTTACAAACCTTGTATAAAATTAGAAGTGCTACTGATTCTAC